TGAATGAGCATGACAGCAGTGCTCAGGGCCGGGAAGAGGCGTTACACTGTGGTTTTCTTCCAGTTTAAACATCTGTGACAATTTGTGATGAAGAAATCGCAGAAGAAGATGCTATTGCACACAACTTTGTGTTACTTTAGCCGGATGTTATTCATTTATTTAAACTTTACAAAAGTGAAAATAGTGGTGATGAAAAGTCAGCAAAAGAATAACAACAGAAAAACTCTAATAAGGATATTAAGCAGCCATTTGATTGGTTAGGGGGTCTCCAAATCCAAGGTCAAAAGTGTTTGATGATTGAGTTTAACAGCTGATGTTGTAGCATGGAGATCTTTTATAAATAATGCCAAAAGAACAAAGGGAATGGCAAGGCAACACAACTAACTATGCAGTTAAAACCAGACAGTCACTGGTGTCCGGTGTGCAAATCAGTAGTGATTCTAGCACTTATTAACCAACCATATAGACTTATAAGCTATATATATATTTTTTTTAAATATGTTTTTCCCTTCTTTCTTTCCAGGCTGCCATATTCAAAATCAATAACTGTTGAAGTATATTTAAAAATTGTGATTGTGATATGTTATTTAACAACATAAACATTCTGTGGTTGTGTCATTGTCATCTGGTTAAGAGTTGATAACAGACTGTTTTATTGGTGTTCAGAATCAGAGATTTTGACTATATTGTATTCACAAACTGTGTTGTGAGAAAATTATTCCCAAAACAGAAACAACATACAAACACGCCTATTGTGAAAAGAGTCATGGGGGTTTTGGGTTATGTTATCTCTTTCAGCTATGTTATATTTGGATTTTGGGATTCTCCAACCCTCCCAGAGAGGCTGGACTTTTAGATATGAGGAAATACAGGAAGTACAGTGAACTCTCACACTGACAGCTTGTCTTAATGTCAGATTCTTCCATGTCCACTTAACAACAGACCGATCGAATTTTTGTGAACATCTGTTAAGTGGTGCTTTCAGTAACACTATGTGATATTATGGGCAACTTGAACATGTCAGTCAGATATAAACAGCCAGATAAATACGTGGAAACACAAACCATGATTTTAAATAAACCTTTGGACAGTTTTGTCTGTATCGTAAATATGATGTCACCAGTAGTTGTTTAGCTTAGCAAGAAAACTGGAAACAATTAGCTTTATAAGATCACTAGCTCACCAATTAACATGTTAAGAGGTGTTTCGGCAGATTTTGTTACCTTAGGACAGAGCCAGGCTAGCTGTTTACCGCATTTTCCTGTCTTTATGCTAAGCTACGCTAATCTTCTGCTGGCAAAACTACAAACATGTTGTTTTATTCATACAAAGTTGTTGAAATTAATTTCCTCAACAAGCATTGCGTTTCAGAAGCAAATACCAACACAGTATAGTTAGGACTAAAAAAGCCTTCCAAAGCTACAAATATTTTAACAGCTTTTTGAATCCAGTGTTTGTTCCATTAGAATCAGAAACCTACTAAACACAACCAAACTTTTTCTTTAGGTATGTTTGTCTCATTGTTCCACATTGATTGTGTTGTGTTCATTGTTATATTCACTAATTACCTTCTTCTCTCTGTCAGTAAATTCTGGTCCAAGAGGAGAGTCGGGGTCCGTGAGAACATATTCCTGCTAAAAGATAAGCACACCAGGTGAGAAAAGCACAAATCTGTTGCTAAAAATAGCTTGTGTGAACACCAAATCAAACATCTCAGCCGGAGCTATCAAGCTTCTTTAAGTCTGTTTTATTCCATTTTGTAGAACCCACATCCTTACCCAAGGAAAAAAAAACATTTTTGAAGAAAAAAAAACTGAGGATCAAAATCAAAAATGGACACTAGAAGATGACCAACAACATTCGAGCTAGATGTCTCGAAGAATCAAAGACACTGAGTGAATGATTTATTTCTGAAAAGATGATAAAATAATGAGTGAATGTCTGTTTATCCATCTGTTTTCTCTCTCTCTCTCTCTCTCTCTCTCTCTCTCTCTCTCTCTCTCTCTCTCTCTCTCCATCTTGATCCATAGTTGTGGCATGATGCTGTTTGATTCTGTAGAAAGTGGCCTGTAGAAAGTGACTATGCCTATCGTGAATACATCTTCTGTTTTTTGAGTGTGAGATGGCAATATTGACACAATTAATTTATAGTTTTTAAATTGGAAACTGCATTCCTGTTCAGATCAAGAGAACGATACCCCAACACACATCCTTGCAGGTGATCTTACTATGATTTAGACTGATAATAGAACATACTCTGCCTAGTAACACCACAGTACAGTACAGTTTGGGGAGAGTGAGGATTCAAAGGGAGAATGTAAGTGTACACAGGGGAAATGAAATGTATGTTCTTAAGCCATAACCAATATGAGATGCACAAATGTGAATAGGACAGACAATGAGACAAATAGCAAAGTGCTTTATGACAAAATCCTGTTCAAACTGGGAAAAAAAGAGTTAAGCATTTGTGTTAATATGCATGCCAAAATCAACCATTTTAGAGTGAACGTCATGATATCAATCATCTAATGATGTGAAAGCTTGGGTCAGGACTTTGTAAAACGTGTGTATTTTATTTTTATCATTTTTTTATGATAACTGCTATTGTATGTATGTATGTATGTATGTACAGTATGTATGTGTGTGTATTAAACTGTACGTTCATTTCATACTTAGTTTTAAGACTGACTGTAATTTCATTTTCGGTTGAAAAAGGAAATATGTTTTAAATTATGGACATTTAAGATATGCTACTTGTATGTGTACATTTTGGAAAAAACAAAAATTGTGTTATGATTTAAATTCATATTATTGGAGAGTAGTGATGATAATTGAATATTATATGATAACAATAATGATAATGATTGTAAAAGCTGTAATTAAAAAACATACCTGTAAAATGTTACTGAAAGAGTTATTTGCAATCCCACACTGCTTCACACTGACTGGTCACAGAAGATCACAGGTAAGTGGCTGTAATGGAGCTATCAGTCATGTTTCAGAGTTTGGACCATTGAAATGCAGATTTTATCCTTGATCTGTTAACTTCAACTTGCACACATGACAGTTAAACTCTGTTGTCAGGGGCATAACTAAGACCTGCAAAGTACCAAGAGGAAAGGGGGTTAAGGGAGAGATTATATTCTTGGTTATGCATACTATGAATGCTATGCCTCTATTAAACTACAGTTATTATTGGTCTCCTTTTTGCTAGTTATGGCCCTTTATTATCCAGACCTAATAGCAATGGAATTAGCCATATTATCCTAAGCAAAACATGTACTGCATGTTTCTGCTCAGTCAAGGGTGAATTGATCACCACAAGACTGGAGAGGAGCCAAAACAGGAAGAGGAAACCCCAGTCACAGACAATGATCTGTACATGGACTCAGCCCCAGGACCCGGACACTCATCTTGAAGAGGACAATGGATCAGTAGCCCAGCTCGTGGCTTAAAAATTACTTTTACACCATAATAAAGTGATTATTTGACAGCCTCACTGAAGAGTAGGTTGTCTAATTTTCTCACTGAAAACACTACAAATATCACAATTTTTTAAGGCAGCGGAGGGTTATAGGAAAAGATGCTTATTACATAGATGAGAAGGAGAAGTTGCTTGGTGTGTACAGTGGTGTTGAGGATCAAAAGCTATCTATCAGAGTCACACCTCTTCCCAGGTATGTGGGACAGAGGCAGTTGACCAGAAGTTGTGCTCAGAGCTTCTTAGGGAGAACTTTGACTGAAGACAACATCCAGAGGCTTTCTGCGATGTGGTGGGTGTGGACATATCTTTAAAGATTTACAGTACACATTTGCATTTACTGTGCACTTTAACTATTTCTTCTGATACATTCAGTACATCTGTCAACGCAAAATATAAACACAACGTGGCATCTGGGGTGAACAGTTGTGGGGAAGAGGAGGGGACCAAAGAAGTGAGGTAGGAAGGTAAATGAGGGGAAGGGGAAAGAGGGAAACCATTTGTTGTATGCTTCACTGTTGCCAGTAATTGTGTGTCTTTAAGTGTCTCCTGGTGTATTTGTGTCTGTGTGTCTGCGTTCCATCTCAGACAGATCAAGGGTTGAGGGAAGAAACATAGCACCATCTCCTGGCTGAGTTCCATTCGTATTCCATCACATGGAATTTATTTGTTTTAAAAGCGGAGTTAAAATATTTTAGTTGTCTGTCTGAGCAAAATTCATTATTGAATACAAATATACAGTTTCTTTTCAATTAAACTGCCACAGATGATCCATACATAATAATGTTCTCAAAATGTTAAAATGTTCCTGACGGCATCAGGAATAATTTATTTGATCTTAAGAATAGTAGACTTGGCATTTTAATGAAGCTTTCAGTTATGATTGACAAGTGTAATAAACTATATGAATTTGGATGAACTCACCACTGAAAAAGCATCAGAATAAAACAAGGGGGTAATTTCAAAAAAAAAAAAAAGCAGTTCGGAATGCACTATGTCTCTTAACTCGTGACTTTACAAGCATGACGTAGAGCCTCTCTGGTGACTGCACAGCTGCAGTCACATAAACACTTCTGCTGGTAATTCAGTTTCACCCACTTCCCTCATTCTCTTTCACAAACACACACATCAAAATAAGATAAACACCGTAAAACCCACTTGTTATTGTTTGTTATAATTTATTTAGCAAATGACGCAGAGATATGTTTGTGTTACATCTTCTTGCAGTTGTGAAATGTGTATATTTTTGAAGTGGAAGCCTGAATGGAAAATCACAAGTTACTGTAAGTTGTTCTTCTCCACGTGTGACAAAGCATAATTGTTACAAATACTTTTGTGTCAGTTAAAAAAAATCACAAATGAAATGAAAATGAAAATTAGGTGAAGTTGAACTAAAACTATTAGATAAAACTCAAAAGTAATTAATCATACAATGTTAGATTTAAGTAACTGAAGGGCTATTTTGACTAATACACATCTTGATTATTCAAATCAAACAAACAAAGTGTATTTTATTTAGAAGGTGTTGTTGAAATAAGGTGATAACAAGTCAAAACTATAGCTGGTGCTTATGTGTAAGAAAGAAAATCATTTTTTTATAAATTGCATATACAATACAATATACACACTATTAATGTGATGTCCTTTAAGAATGTTAAATAACTTGCTAATAGAGATTAAATAACAGTAGAAAAGATTAAATCAATATGTACCCATTTTTTCTGTGCTAGTTGGCTCAGATGTATTTTGTCCCAACACGTTGTGGGACTTTTCGGGAAACTCTTACTGTAAACGACACGGAAGAAGCCCATACATAGTGTTTGACCACAGGTCTTCCTCTCAGCATTCAATCACGTTTTAATAGTGCAGAAATGTCTGACTCACACGTTATTCTTACAAACAAGGACCTCCTTCTCCAAAGTCCTTTAAAAGGGCACAAAACTTGCTCCTGTTCAGAATTTGATTGAATAGGACTTGCTGGAGAACTATTTATTTTATTATATTATTAAGCTATTTATTATTATTTAGTCCTTATTTATCTTCCTCATCTTTTCTTTCCAAATGTTTTTGTTTCCACACACCTATTTCTCTTACCTGTCCTCTTTTCTCTTAATCATCCCACTTCCTTTCTCTTTGTCATTTTATCTAACTGACTCCAACCCACTTTTATCCTTTAATAGTCAAGTCAGAGAGGTGCACCTCTACACAGGTATTTACAATATTTTTCATTTCAGTGATTTAGTCATAGATTTAAGGCAAATGTGGGAATTTTGATGAGATGCTGCTGCTCTTAACACCTTAAATTCATCTTCAATCATACTGATTTCTTTCTTTCTTTTTGTCACAGATAATCACAGACGAGGGATGTATCTGCAGATGACCCTGGATGGGAGAGTGTCAGGAAGTGAGGCTCAGACACCTTACAGTGAGTATTACAGTTACATCAGTAACCAACAGCATGTGGGTCCAATTTAAAATATTTTTCTTTCCCACACAATGGATCATTTGAGGCCTAGAAAATAGAGACCAGCAGGAGACCTAGAAGACACATCTATTTATGTTTTGTGTTTCCAGGTGTGCTAGAGCTGAAATCAGTTAAACCAGGCCATATAGTCATCAAGGGACAGTCGTCATCTCTGTTTCTCTGTGTGGGCAGTGGAGGCCATCTGAGGGGGCAGGTACAGTAAGCAAAAAAAACTTTACTATCCTAATGTCTCTGTCCTTCCTGTCCTTCACTGACAGTTTACATCTGTTGTCCCTTTCAGAGGCTCTACACAGAGGCTGACTGCACCTTCAGAGAACTGCTGCTGGCAGATGGATACACCCGTTTCCTTTCCTCGCACCATGGATTTCCTGTGTCTCTGGCATCAAAGCATTCCCAAGATCGCAACACAGTACCCTTCACTCGATTCCTACCACTTAGGAATACCTTGGCAGGGGAGAGTGGGTCTGAACAACCACCAAACAATCAGAGATATTTCAACATGGACTCTGATGATCTTCTTGGAATGGGTCTAAACACTATGGTCAGTCCTCAGTTCTCACTGGACAAGTAAAAAAAAGATGAATTGAACAGATATGTAACTATATGTACCTGGTTGAAATAGATTTTTTTAATGACCAGAAGAGACCTGATTTTGTTAAGTAATGAGCAGCTTGGTCATTTTGGTTCTCAGCATTAATTAATATAACTTATTTATTTATTGTGTGTGTGGTGTATTTCTAATAGTTATTTAAAGAATGAATAATTTTGACTACAGCTCTTGAGGTTTTTTTTTTGTTTAGTTTGAAAGGATGTTTGTGTCTTAGAAAGAAATGGACCATGTTGCAACATCTTTTGGAGTTCTTCCGAATCGAATGTGACTGGAAAGTCCAACAAGCTTGTGTTTGTACTACTCGAGTGTATTTATCAGACTAGAGAGAATGAAAATAAACATGATATAAATAACACTTTTGTTTGTCGTGGTCTTTCATGCAATGATACAGCAGTTTAATGAAACAATTACAGGAAGGAGAATGAGAAGAATGCATTCACAGCTCATGGTGGTGGTGAGTAAAAATGGGTTGATCATGAGTGTCGGGCGTAGAGGAGTCTCAATTAGAGAGGATGCCTTAATTTGTAATCTTGCATTGATTTGTTTTTGGTTTTAGCCTTGCTGTATTTGTTTTATTTATTTTTTTGTTTTAATGTCATTAATCTTTTTTTATTGTTTTTATTATTATTAAAATTTTTAACAAAGCCTTGTAGATTTTATTTTTGGTAACTGAGAGACATAAATGTTTTGTGGTATAACAAAAAATGCAATTGATTGATGTTCACTTTGAGAGAACTTGTAAGTATTTTTGAAAAGTTAAATAAAGTTTTGGAAAAATAAATAAATAAATAAAATTTAAAAAATGGGCTGATCATTGTGAGAGCAGGAGTGTCCTCTAGTGGACAAATGAGTAATGATGAAAACAAGGCCAAGTTCCCTAATCCACTTTGTTTGAGCTCTGGTGATCATTTTCCTGTTGTATCTTTTGGTTGAGCAAACCTAAAATTTCTCAGTTGTTATACAGTATACATATATATATATATTTAACCAGTGGTATTTCCCTTTAATGTGTAAAGCATTCTGGGAATTCTACAGTTCTGCCGTATAAATTGTCTTCATTGTATATTCAGAGTTATTACAGTCATGTGCAGTTAGTTAGAAAGTCTGGGCTACAATTCAACAAAAAATATAATTATATACATATATTTACTGAAAGACAGAAGGTTTTTGTATTTGATGACAAAACAACAAATTGTAAGGCCCTTTGAGGCATATTTGTGATTTTCCATCATAAAGATTGTGTTATCAGTCTGTCTGCTACTACTAATTCCTCTTCATAAAATTGTCCATATACACACAAGCATAAAAACGATCAGTTAGCTTTTGTCATTTATTTTTATTTTTTTCCTGCTTTGTTACAATTTTCCAATTGGTTTAGGGACCAGTTTTCACATATAAAAATTCAAATATTAATAATGTAATTATTTCACACATAGCCCACGTCATACAAAAAAACTGCAATTTGCTTGCAATGTTGTAATGTTCCCTGATATCTTTTGTTTTTTGTCTCAGTACTGCTTCACTGATAATCTACTCTAGTACTTTCTCTAACTGTTAAACTAACATCATTATCACAAACTAAAACACATTATTGGAGCAGTTGACACTTACACACACGTTACATTAGTAGACATACCTTCCATTGGTCACTGTGATGTCGTGGAAAGTCTTATGTGTTCCAGTGAAATTGAGAGCAATGTTATTAGAAGCTACTGCTTATAACAGCTTAGTAGCTGTGGAAAAGGTCAGTCACATCCATACAAAAGTGAAAGACAGATTTGATCTGTTAAACTCCTGTGACTAAATGTTGCTTAGAATTTGCTGTAGCCTAGGCAATGAAGGATTAAGTATAACTGTGTTTCTTTTGTGTTATATAATATCATATCCTAAAACACTGCTATATTTAACAGGCGAATATAATTTATTCAGTGGCACCAACAAAAGTTCAAATCCTTTTTTCTGAATAATTACTCAAGACTACAAGCAACCATACACAACACTGCTTCTTTTAAGAAAATTAATAAAATATAATCTTTATTAAAAACACTGAGTGCATGATTAAGCAGGTAAATACAGAACTTTTTGCCATAGCAATTAAAACTTTCCTCTTTTTCTCAAACACAAATGGGTAACACTGTCATTGTCAGTGTTGTATTACACCATGATAAAGGTCATGTCAGTCGCTTCAGGTCACATAAGCCAAAACTACACAAATGTGAACTTTGTACATTACTTACAGAAGAATGTTGAGAATGTGGGGTTGGTTTACGAGAGATCTCAGTCTATCTGCAATGGCAGCTCTGCTGGTGTTTGGTTGAGTTTTTATGAGACATGACATCTATATTGCCAATAATCTATCTGCTTCCACTTCAAACATTAAGCCACAAAGTGACAGTACTAAGACATCATAGTTTCAAGGCACAGAACAGACATTCAGAAAGTCATTTTCATCTCAAACACAAGCTGACAGCATTAATAAATAACAGCTCATATTATATTTATATGATGACCCTGAGAATATAAAACTTACTGTCTTTTTCTTGCTTTTTAAAAGCTATATTATACAAAACTTGCCTTTCAGAGACATTTGGCTAGTGCTGTAATAAATACCTGTAAATAAACAAGGAAAGGCAATAAAAAGTAGTAGGCATATTAGTGCTATATTTATAGTTTTACTTATCATGATTTTCCAGTTGGCCAGTTCCTTTTTTCTAATTTTTCTCATCAGGACCTGTCAACTCATATTTGTTGTGTTTCATTTTGCTTTTTCCATTATTTTATCATTTTCTTGTACAGTCACCCTCCCTACACTTGAGTAACCAGTGGTTCCCTCAGATACATATTTCCTCCTTTGAATTCTGTGCTCTGTCCTGTACACAGTCCACCCAGCAGAGTCCCATTCAAAGGGCTGCAGATGCCTTCAATAGCATAATAATCTCCCTCTTGATCCCTATCCCCTTCCTCTATCTCCTCCCCCTCTGGCTCCCCGTCATCCCACAGACTCGTCTGGACATGGGTGTACTCTGTCCGATCCTCACATTCTGTCTCCCGATGGTAGAAGTAGCTAAAGTTAGACACTATGACGGGCACTGGTAGGGAGATGGTAAGCACACCGGCAATGGCGCACATTGAGCCCACAAGTTTACCCCACACTGTCTCTGGGGACATGTCACCATAGCCCACGGTGGTCATAGTGACGACTGCCCACCAGAAGGCATGTGGTATACTGATAAAGGCTGTGTTGGCGTGGTCAGCCTCAGCAAAGTAGATGGCGCTGGAGAAGAGGATGACACCAATAAACAAGAAGAAGATAAGCAGGCCCAGTTCACGCATACTGGCCCTCAGTGTCTGACCAAGGATCTGGAGGCCCTTGGAGTGGCGAGACAACTTAAAAATCCTGAACACCCTCACTAACCTGATGACTCTGATGATGGCCAAAGATGTGGCTGGAGAAGCGTCATTGTCCTTAGCCAGCTCTGTTCCCAGAGTGACAAAATAGGGCAAAATGGCACTGAAGTCGATGATGTTCATGACATCCTTGAAGAAGTGCGTCTTGCTGGGTGAGCAAGAAAAGCGCATGAGGAGCTCAAAGGAGAACCAGCATATACATATGGTCTCCACCAGGAAGAAAGGGTCATGGAAGACACTTTGTGGAAGTGGCATGTTTTCAGATACGTTCTTTGCCTGGGCGTGGTACTTGTAAAAATATTCCTGAAAGAAAGGAGACAAGAAAGATATAAAAACGTATTTGTAAAGTAGAACAAAAATATCAACATAACAAGAATGAAAATAGACAATCGTAATTGTAATTTGCTAATTCAATTAATCACAAGTTTGATTAGAAGAATTATACTGCACCACTTTAACGTCTGTATGGTAATTGTTGAGCTAAAACCAAAAGCTGGTTAGCTTAGCTTAGCACGAATACTGGAAGCAGGCTTTTGCCAGCACGTCTAATGGCCTTTGTATACCTGAAAGTCTGAACCAGGATCCAAACCAAGGTTTGAACTTTTGTTACAATGCATAAATACTGAACTGCATCTCCATAGAGTTGCAATTGATTAGTGTCTAGACGGGTGTGTGTGTTGTGAATTCAATTTAATTATTTTCATCCTCTCAGAAAATAATTCAAAAGCATTGGAATAATTTTCCAACTGACTTTTTACAAAGTCGTCAAACTAAACTACTCCTCACCCCATGTGCTACTCCAGCCCATTTCATTGTGTTGTTTTTTCCAGACGATAGCCTGCCAGAACTTTTAGTAATTCATCTGAAGAGAATCTGTGAGAACCATCCAAAACACATATATATATATGTGTGTGTATTTCACACAAGACACAACAACTTTGTGTCGGACCAAGGTTTGACTGTTCGGTCCAGACCGGGGTCTGGGGGAGGTTTCACACCTGTAATTTTGGTCTGGATCAAACTGAAAAGTCCGAAAGTCTAGATCAGACGAGGTAGGTGCAAAAGGACCTTAAAGCTCAGAAATGAATGCGTTATATTGTTTGTTTATTCTGTAAAGTAAATGACACAAACAAAAACAAAAAAACATTTATTGCCAAGAAATAACTTTCAATAAAACTGTTTTTTAAACATAACAGATATAATGTTAATTAGAAAGCTTTGAGCAGAGCCAAGGTAGCCGTTCCCCCTCCTACCAGTCTTTATGCTAAGCTAAGCTAACCGTCTAGCTGCTCCAGCTACATTTACAAAACAGACATGAGAGTACTATCTATCTTCTCATCAACATTTTGGCAACTATTCCTTTAAATGTAGGACCATTCTTCTTTGCTACTAAAACTACTACTATTTTCATGCTATTCTAATAAACTACATAGAAATTCAGTATGTCGTCCACCATCTCCTTGGTTCTCACTTTTGGCAACATCATAAAAGCGTTTGACATCTGTGGCACTACATTTCAATCATAGTTGCACCAATCTCTCTTTCAGTCCACCTGTCTTTCCATCTTCTGTGTCAGTTAGCATTACATTCAAGTACTGGATAGTGGCCGTTTAAAGCATCTTACACTTAACATCAAGTTAAAAGCGTGAAAACGGATGATACGGATATAAAGGGATCAGTTTAGTATGCTGTAATGGGTTGTGTGTAACATATAAAGTTTCAGGGTAGTTTAAATAAACCTAGAGTATTTCTCATGTCTTTCAGTAGCAGGTCAGTGACAGTGTTTATTACTAAAGGTGGACATCTATGTGTTGATCTGCTCCAAGGGCTCTCCTAAGACTAAATATAACCCCGTGAGATCTCCAAAGAGAAACATGAGAGCAACTTGCTGCACAGCTCCTCATCCATCTCCTCCTTCGTCGCTATCCCATCTCCCTGGCCTCTGCAGCAATGTAGCATTGCCAATGCAGTTCAGTGGGTCTGCCGCTGTCTTGGACTCAAGTAAGTTACAGTAGTTTCCTGGCAGCTACCTTGTGCATAGGCAGCTTGGCCTAGCGCAGCAGTCCTGGAGGAATGTGTTAACATGACCCAACGTATGCTTCTCATCCTGTGAGATCTGTTAGTCTCCGGTTCTAAGCCACCGGAAGACTTTGGCTCACCTTTGCCTATGTGCTCGGCCACTTGTGTGACCTTTTATCAACACACCTAACTGTCTACTCACCCTGTCTTTCCTTTCTCTTTTTTTATT